AGAGGGGCATCGTAGTCGTATGAAGTCACCTGGGATATATCAATTAATTGAGTTTAAATAATGGTAAATTTTTTTTGATTAACTAACCTTTCTTTCGCCGTTGAGAAAAGCAAAGTTTGTTCCACCAAAGAACATGTAAAAGTTCACTGAGCCGTTGACCTGTAACATAAAAATCAGGTTTCATTTTTAAGTTTCTCAAAAAAGTTCTTTTTACCTTAAAAAGCAAATCAGAAATCTCGTGCTCAAAGGTCTCCACCGAGTAGCGGTGGTGGTGCTGCTCATGCCAGTCGTCGAACCAACCGGGCCAAAACTCGGACACAAAAGCCGGTTTTCCGGGTTGATTCTTTTTTAGCTCAGTGAGGTGCTTCAGAGCATTTCGGTTCAAATTAGCCGTCTGCAGAACAGAATTGTCTTTGTAGACGCCCTTGATTGGGTAGCGCTGAGCGGTGTTGTCCGGATCGGAGTTGAAGATCAGCTCCTTAAAGCCGCTGTCTCGAACTATTTTCAAAAGAAAGTTCAAGTACTCATCACTGTCTGGATGGTGAATTCCGGCGCTGTACTCATTTTCCGTCTGCAGCAAAATGACCGGACCGCCATTGACGCTAAACTGATACTTGTTAATAATTTTCAGTGCCTCGTCCCAGAACGGCTTCACTCGATCAAGGTACGGTTTGTAGTTGGATCGAAGCTTAAGATGAGGATCTCGAAGTAGCCAACTTGGATAGCCACCCAATTCCCATTCTGAGCAATAAAAAATTTTATAATTGCGATAAAATTGCTACAATAAAATGTCCGTTTACCTGCGCAGATATAAGGTCCAGGTCTTACTATGGCGAACATATCAGCCAGTTTGATTTCTTCAAGAAAACGCGCCAGGTCAAGAGCCGCCGATTTGAAGTCAAAATCGCCCGGGCGGTCTTCATGGAGGTTCCACGGCAGGTAAAACTGCACGGCGTTTAGTCCGGCCGCCTTGAAACGTTGCAGCAGTGGACGCCAATACTGCGGAACGGCGCGGAAAAAGTGCAGCGAACCACTGTAGATAATGTACGGTTTTCCATTGAGGGTGAAGTGATCAGGGGAGTTTGCTTCCAGACCCGACTTGATGCCCCCTGAGGTGTAGTACTCGTAGAGGCTGGGATCCTTGCCAAAAACTCCTGTGCCAGCAATAGCCAAGAAGGCGACTAGGAGTGTAGTGTGAATGTGCATGATCTAAAGTTCTGATAACAATTGATCAAAACAAAAAACAACTTAAGTTTCAAAGTAAAAATAGTCTGCTGTTTTTATACAGCAACTGAAAGCTTACTTATTTTGTACGGGCTACCAGCCTTTTGACAACAGTTATCAGCGGCAATGTAATCAGCCAAGTAGTCAATTGACTTTAAAAACTTTGTTTTGACGATTATATAATACTGGCATTTTTTCTGATAGCGTTTTTATTAATTAAAAAATTGTTAGTAAACAGTTCAAGTGCGTGATACGACAGCTGTTAGCGATGGTGGTAGACTGAAAACTGACTTAAATACTTTAGACTTTAACCTTTGATTTAAAAATCATTTTGCACGACACATATTTTTTTTAATTACCAAAAATTTGCAGTAAACAGCCAATCACTGGAGATAAAAAATTAAATAACAATGCACAAATGTTATCATTTTTGGCAACTTTAAACAACAGCTTTAGAATGCATTTTATAAATTCTTGTTTGCGCTGTTGCCTAGCCCAAAATTGACCAATTTAAAAAAATTAAAAATTTGTGTTTTTGAGCACTATTTGATAAAACGTTAAAATGTTAAGCATTTTTTAGTTGTTAAAAAATAATTATCAAGTTCAGGTTTAATTCAGAAAAAATAGTGTTTTACAAAGGCATCAAGTTTTACATCGTTTGACAGTTTTAGACAACATTTTTAGACAATTTATAAATTCTTGTTATCTCTTTTGTTTAACCCAAAACTGGCTGATCGACAAAGTGCAACTGGTCGCCAGGAATGTGCAGTTCAAAAACTTGAATAGTATTTTCACCCGTCTTTAACAACGGAGCAGGCAGGTACATTGTTTTGGTAGGACCGACTTTCCAGTATCGACCTAGGTTAAAGCCGTTCACAAAAACGTTGCCCTTTGTCCAGCCGTCCATCTTCAGAAAGGTGTCCTCTGGGCGACCCTCCACCTTCAGTTTAGCCTCGTACATTGCCGGACTGAAGAGAAGTTTAGTGTGGTTAAAGGCGGTCCAGTGAAGCTTCGGCAGCTCGGCGAGGAAGGTGGCGTTAAAGTCCAGCGAGTATGCGGTCAGGTTGTGGACCACATGATCGTCGAGGGTGATGTTCGAGTTGATGCCCTTTCGCTCCGACTCCATGTGAACGCCGTAGTTGATGCGGCCCTGGTTCTCCACCAGCATGTCAAAGGTGGTCACTTCGGTGGCTTTTCGCCCTGGCTTAGCCTCAATAAACCTGCTTCCATAGGGCACCTCGGCGCCTTCCTTTCCGTTCTCAAGGAAGAGTGATCGGTCGAAGATCGCTTCCGTCACCTCAAAGACCTTCACGCCCTTGCCCACCACTCGGTAGAGGATGAAACCGAGGCTCTGCGGTTCAGGCAACATCTCCATTGTAACGGCCTGCTTCAACGCAAATCTCTTTGTAATCTTCAGCATCTCCTCAAGGGGCAACTGTCGCTCTACTTTTACACTTCCGTACGCCTTAACCGGCTGCACCTTGGGCACCTCGGGCAGTCGGGTTTTGGGCAGGCGCCCAGTGGAAACCAGCTTCTGGTACAGTTCCCGAGTTTTGTGGTACTTTGCGGTGTAGTTGCCTGATTCGGAAAGCGGTGCATCGTAGTCGTAAGAGGTGACGACGTGCAGGGCAGACTCAAAAGCGGACCGCTTGTCATTGGCACCGTTGTAGAAGCCAAAGTTGGTGCCCCCGATGAACATGTAAATGCTGACAGAAGCGTTGTGCTTTAGAGAAAAAAGTTAAAAAATAGTTTTCAGAAAATATTAACTTAAAAACAAACTATTTTTTGGTTATTACCTTGAACAAAATGTCATTCATCTCGTGGTCAAACTTGTCGGCGGTGTAGCGGTGGTGCGCCTCTTTGGCACCCCAAAAATCAAACCATCCGGGCCAGAACTCGGAGACAAAAAGTGGACGACCTGGTTGCGCTTTAGCCAGCGCTGTCAACTGAGCATCAGAGTCAGTGTTGAAGTTGGCAGTCTCCAGGACATCGTTTTTGGGAAAAATGCCCTAAAAAGTAACAAAAAATAAAAATGTCTAATATTTAAATTACTATTTGCAGCCTACCTTAATGGGCATTTTTGCTGCCACGTGGCCTGGATCACTAGTGAAGAGAAGCTCTTTGAAACCGCTGTTTACAACAAGATCGTGCAGAAAACGCAGATATTCTGGGCTGTGCGGAATAGCCGGACCAAAGTACTCATTCTCTAGCTGCAACATAATCACCGGTCCGCCGTTTTTGCTAAATTGAAATCGATTAACAATAGCCATTAGGTGTTCAAGGTAGATTTTGGCCAGGTCAGTAAAAGGCTTGGGAAATAAAAAGAAAAATAAATAACAAAAAAGTTTTTTGTCACAAATTCTTTTTTACCTTGTAGTTGGTTCGAAGTTTCATCGCTGGATTTTTGAGTAGCCACCCTGGCATGCCACCTAGCTCGAATTCGCCACAAAAATAAGGCCCGATTCTTACTATGGCAAACATATCTGCAAGTTTAATTTCTTCAAGAAAGCGGGCAATGTTCACCGCCTCGCTGGTAAAGTCAAAATGACCTTGTTGAGGCTCATGAATGTTCCAAGGAAAATACATCATCACTGAGTTGAGACCAGCCGCCTTCATCCGCAGCAGTGTTTGTCGCCAGTACTGGGGCACCACTCGAAAGTAGTGAAAGGAACCACCAAAGATGGTGAATGGCTTTCCATTGAGAGTAAAAGCCACCGAAGAGGCGTTCAGACCTGTTTTCACGCCCCCTGAAGTGTAGTGCTGGTAGAGAGTGGGATCTTCAGCTGATGTTGTTTTTAAAAAGCAGATGGCCAAAATCAAGCTGACAAACAGAGCAAGTGTTTGCCATTTTAAAATTAGCAACTTCATTTTTGACAAAAAGTGCTTAAAAAGTAAGTTTAAAGTTGATTAGGGTAAACAGCCCCACCACTAGTCACAAACCCAAAATCAATTTAAGGTGGTGGTGGTAAAAATAAAAAGTAATGCTTTTTAAATTTTGTTTTAAAATTTATTAAAGTTTATCAAGTTGTCAAAATACGTTACGTAAAGCAATTTTTTGGTTTGGAGCAAAATGTAAAGCGTATGTGCCTCTCATTGAAGTGTTTTTATCAAACGATTGTTGGCTTTTAATTAATAGTTGAGATTTGTAACATGCAGTTAGTTAAAAAAATGACAAAAATGCAATCGAACTGTATTTGTCATGCAAACAAAAAATTGGTCAAATTTTTGTAAAATTAAACTGGAAAATGTTATGCAAAAAATTTAATAAAAAATTTTATTTTTTATACAAAAATAACTAAAACGAAATTCAGTACAAGTAGAAAAAACTGTTTAAAGTTGTGTAGTTATATTTGTTTCTCTGCATTCAGAGTTATTTGATTTTAAAAAAAGTTTCTTTTTTGTTTTTGATTAAATTATTATCAAGTTTGAGTTAATCAGATCATATAAATTGTGTTTGACAATGACAGTTTACTTAATTTTATTAAAATAGTCATTTTTAAACCAAAAGTTTACCAGTAAAATTTTTTTGAAAAATTTATAGTACTGGAAAGTGCCACTAGATAGTAGCACTGGGAGCACACACTAGCAGGTGCGTTTGTTGTGAGTAGAGAACAAAAGGAGAGAGAAAGAAAAGGCACTCAATTTCCGTTTTGTTTTCATTTCTCTCAACGGGCAAGTAAAACTTTAAAGTTTGCTTTGTTTAAAACTAATGATTTTTCATTAAAAACAGAAAACTACCGAAACATGCCCCCTCCGAAAAAGAAGTTGACACTAAAGTGTCATGCTGAAAAAGGCAAGAAACCAACAAGCAGTTTGCAGCCATCATTTCCAACCGCCCTAGAACTGCAAGCGGCCAATCCAGGTTCTAATTTTTATCGACCGACGGAACAAAAGAACGACAGTTTGGACAACGCCTTTACTGACTCTTCACGACGATTAGACAAGAGACGGGACCAAAAGGATAAAGATGCAAATTCAAAGACAAAACGTTTCAAAGTTTCTTCTGAACAAAACAAAAAGAGCATCTCTACTGCTAAAGGCCCTTCCAGTCGCTCTTCTACACTTCCATTCCCGACATGTTCTCCTCCTACTTCCCGTCGCCGTGTTCAGCCATCCACTCCCTCCTCCTCTTTCCTGGACGCCCTCTTTCGCCGAGAGCTGGGCCTGCTTACCCACAAGCACAAGCACTTTCTGGAGCCATTGTCGGCGCTCTGTGTTGACCGACTGCCACTGAACCTTCCTGCGGTAATCCAAGAGGGCGACGAAGCACTGAACGCCCCCCGCAGAGGATTTCCGGCCCCCTTAACGCGATTTCGTGAGCTGCTGAAGAGCTCCCAGGGCCGACCGCGCCTCCTCTACCACCCAATGTATAGTGAAAGACGCGAAGGAGAGGGCTTCGCCATTGTCAGCCGGCCAGTTGAGGGCGGCGCCAACCAGTCGGGCACCGCCCTGGGCAGTGACGCCTTCCTCGTCGGCCCCTACATCGGCCCTGACGACACCCTCTACGAGGTGCCCTACTACCTGTCGGTGCGCGTGAAAACGGCTGCCGGATCGCTGCCGGTGATGGACGTCAGCCCGCCGCAGACGGTCATGGCGCCGGAGCTGTACCCACGGGTGCCCGAACAACGCCACGACACCGCCTACCAGTCGCCACCGGAGAAGCGCATGGTCATGGCGGTGGTGCCCGGCTTGCTCGGCCCTCAGCGGGCAATTCAGACGGTGGTAGAGGAGGAGAGCCGGCGAGGGCCTCCCGCCCGACCGAGACCAGACATCGTCAATCAGATCCTAAGAGAAATTCCCAAGCTGTCCACTTGCGCCTTCACCGGCATTCACGCTCTTATCATCGAGTCCACCGCCAGTGGGACAGAACAGTCGTCTCAGCAGCCGCCGTCGCCGCCGCCGCCGCCTGCAGCCACGAGCAGCAGCATCCGCGGGAACAGAAGAGGAAGAGTATCGGGCAACTCCGCTCCTTCGTCCCTTCCTCCTCTCAGCCGACGAGAGCACCAGATTCGCCTTCGCTACGGCTTCAACATGCTGCCCGAGCTGAACGAAGCGAATCCGCTGATCAATTCCTTCCCGCCTCTTCTCTATGCGCGCAATTTTAGAACTCCCCGCAGTATACACCGCCTGGTACCCAACGGTCATTGCCTGCCTGCTCAGGGCTGGCCATGGCCCGCTCCAGGTGCCTTGGAGCTGGAGAGATCGCCCTACTTGAAGCAGATTTCCATTGCAAGAGGAGGAGAAGGAGGAGAAAACAGGCAGGAGGAAGGAGACCAAGAAAAGGTCAGGGGTGACTATGCCGACTACCTGCGTCGCCTCACCTTTAGCGCCTGTCAGCGAAAGTTGGCCATTGCTGATTTGGGGGGTAAGTGAACACTCTGGACACTGTGTGACCGCTTCTTGAAAGCAAAATACTAATCAAATTCTTTTTATCATCTATTCCCCCTCCCTCATTTTCCTGCAGACGCTCACCTGACCTGCATCGACCTGCAGTTTTTGGACACTGAGTCGGGCGCTTTCCGAACGAAACTTCGTTTTGACAGTTTGCCCAACGCCGTCCTTTCCGGTTTCTCCGATGGCACCGTCCAACTGGCTGAATGGAACTGCAACTCCACTGTCAGTTCCCGAATTCAACGCCCTGATTCGGTGCGCACCTGGCGTGCCCCGGCTCCCGTCAGTTCGGTCATGTTTCACCCCACCCGACCTAGTCAGGTGGTGGTCACTGCAAACGAGGGCTTTATCGGCCTCTTCGACAGCCGATTCCTCGAGGAAGGCGTTGGTTTTGGCCAATGTCGACTCGTTTCTCCGGTCATTCGCTTTGAGGGACACAGCTCCTACACTCGGACTAACCCGCCCAGTATCGACCCCTTTGGCTCCGATGTGATGGTGTGCGCCGGCATGTACAACAAAGTTTACTTTTGGAGCACCGCTACGGGCAAACTGTTGAAGTCTTTTCAGGCCTTTCCGGGTAGAATTGTCCCTCGAGGAGAGGGCACCTCTACTCGGGTCGCCTACAGCAGCTGCTTTAAGGTGATGCCGCAGAACTTTGACGATGACGCTGCCGACACTGATGGCCGTTATGTGGGCGAGGCGCTCCTCGTCATCAACAGCTGCTTCGCTAGGATGTACATCGCCGGAGTGCCTGACTTTGCGCAGCCAGCTGGCGTTTTCCCTCAGTGGTACTGAACACTTTTTTAATACTACTATATACTTTATCACTACCGCCACTTTTAATGTTGCAAATCAAAATCTTATTATCGAAACAAAAACAAATAAAGTTTCTTTTTGAAGCAAATCTTCTAGCAGTGCCGTGTCTCTGTTGATGCGCTTTTTGGGTACATTTAGGCACTAGCGCTGTATTGAGTGAAGTGTGCGAGAATGAGTGTAGCAGTGCCGCAATAGTCGCCGACAGCAGCCGTTTCAGTTGTGTCTGTCTGTCTGTGCCTGTGCCTGTGCCGCTGGCAAAGCACGTGTTTTGGCTGCACTGCCTTCTGCTTCGCCAAAATACATCACTGCACCGATATCAGGCCATCACATTACCAGCCAGCCAGTTTAACCGTTGATTTGATCAGAAGCTAACCCCATCATCACTATTCTCTCTTTTCTCCTCTGACCATTTACACTTGCTCAGCACAAGTTCTCTCTGTTGCTGTCTGTTGCTTCTTCCTAACACTCACACAAACAAACAAGCAAGCAAGCACACCGCAAGGCACATCGTAAGTACATCTGTTTTCTTCAATGCTTTTGTGCACTGTTGCATCAGTGCTGACCTTTTCTACTTTAGCTCGAAGTTTAACAGAACACCATTTAAACCTGCATTAGATCAATCAACTGATTGTAACAATTATCAAGTGATATTACCACCATCACCACCACTTTCCCATCATGTCCTGGCTCTTCGGTTACAATCAACAGAAGCCCACTGTTCCACCGGGCATGCCGGACGGCGGCTTTGGTAGTGGCCAAGTCGGCGGGGCGGCTCCTGGCGGCGGAAGCGGAAACTCCGGTTCCGGTGGTGGCGGCGGTAATCCCCCAAACAGTGGCATGAACATTGCCAGCGGCAAAATGGCCGCCTACCAGTTTGACTCTTCCGCCTTGGAGCGAGCCGCCAAGGCGGCCAAAGAGCTGGAACAGAGCCGCTTTGCAAAGGACGCCCTGGAGCTGGTGAAGCACCAGGAGGCTACCAAGCAGCTGGAAATTCAAAAACAGATCAAGGAGTACGAAAGTGCCATGGCCAGCGCCCAGATCGAGGCTAAGAAGGCGGAACAGGAGCACCGGCGGCGGATGCTGCAGGAGGAGGCGAAACAGGCGCAGCTGAAAGCGCAGTACGAGGATCAGCTGGCAAGAAAGCGTTTTGACGACCAGATTGCACAACAACGAGCCGCCAATGAGGAGAACATTCGTCGACAGGAGGAGTCGGTGGCAAAGCAGGAATCGATTCGAAGGGACACCCTGGCACAGGAGCTAGACCTGAGAGCGAAGGCCGATGCGAAGCGCATTGAGGCGGAGATTCGCGGCCAGGCGAAGGTGGAACGGGAAAATCGAGACATCCGCCTGGAGCAGCTGAAGGCGAAGGCGGCCGAGGAGCGGACCACCATGCTGGAGGCGATCGTCACCGCGGGCAACGTCTTCGGCACCGGCTTTCGCGCCTTCGTCACTGACTGGGAGAAGGTGAGCGCCACGGCGGTGGGCATCTCGCTGGCCGCTGCCGGCATCTACGGAGCAAAGCACGGCATCGGCATCGCCGGCCGCCTGATTGAGTCTCGCATTGGAAAGCCCTCCCTGGTGAGGGACACCAGTCGGCTGAACGTGATCGACGGCCTGCGACATCCGGTCAAAACGGCGAGCCGAGTGCTGCTGGCGCGAAAGCCTGCCGACGCCCTGAAGGGCGTCATCCTCGAGCCGACGCTGGAGGAGCGCCTCCGAGACATTGCCATTGCCACGAAGAACACCCGCAAGAACGGCGGCCTCTACCGGAACGTCCTCTTCTACGGGCCGCCCGGCACCGGAAAGNGAAGCACGGCATCGGCATTGCCGGCCGCCTGATTGAGTCTCGCATTGGAAAGCCCTCCCTGGTGAGGGACACCAGTCGGCTGAACGTGATCGACGGCCTGCGACATCCGGTCAAAACGGCGAGCCGAGTGCTGCTGGCGCGAAAGCCTGCCGACGCCCTGAAGGGCGTCATCCTCGAGCCGACGCTGGAGGAGCGCCTCCGAGACATTGCCATTGCCACGAAGAACACCCGCAAGAACGGCGGCCTCTACCGGAACGTCCTCTTCTACGGGCCGCCCGGCACCGGAAAGACGCTCTTCGCGAAGAAACTGGCCGAACACTCGGGCATGGACTACGCGCTCATGTCCGGCGGCGACGTGGCGCCGATGGGCCGCGACGGCGTCACCGCCATCCACAAACTGTTCAACTGGGCGAACACCAGCCGACGAGGTCTGCTGCTGTTTGTCGACGAGGCGGACGCCTTTCTGCGGAAGCGAGCCTCGGAGACGCTCAGCGAGGAGCTTCGAGCCACCCTGAACGCCTTCCTCTACCGAACCGGCGAGCAGTCGGGTCGGTTCATGTTGGTCCTGGCCTCGAACACACCGGAGCAATTTGACTGGGCCATCAACGACCGCCTTGACGAGCTGATTGCCTTCAATCTGCCCACGGCGGCGGAGCGGGAGCGTCTGGTTCGCCTCTACTTTGATAAGTTCATTCTGGAGCCGTCGACGAGCCGGCGAAAGTAAGTGTGTTTTTGTTTCTCGATTAATCGTTTAGTCTGGTCTACTTTTGTTTGTTTATTGTTGTCGAAAAAAGCTGCACAGATAGATCTTGCCAATTGGTGAAAAAGGTTGTTTATTTCACTAACACTTTGTTTATTCTTCCCTTGCCACCACCACCACCACCACTTTAGCCGGCTGAAGCTGGACGTCTTCGACTACGGCGAAACTTGCGCGGAGATTGCCGCCAAGCTGGACGGCCTTTCCGGTCGTGAGATTGCCAAGCTGGCGGTGGCCTGGCAGGCGGCCGCCTACGCCAGCGAGGATGGAATTCTCACCAGGGCGATGATGCTCGCCAAGGTCGACGATGCCATTGTGCAGCACGAGCGGAAGATGCAGTGGCAGGCCGATGAGGAGCGCGTCAAACGGGTGCACCAGAAGTACGTCGCCCATTCAAAATCAGCCAGCAACAACAACAGCAACAGTCAGAACAGTGCCTCCTCTTCCTCATAAGAAAACAAACGGTTTTGTTCTTTTTCCCGAACTCATCGGTTTGTCTAACCTTTGCCCTCAAACTAAGATGATGAAGAGGAATGAATGAATGAATCATTAAAGAATTACTATTTTTCTAGCCAACTATTTATAGCTTTGAATAGTTTTGTTTACCTTTAAACACACACAAACACACACACACAAGGCGACCTTTTGCCCTTCAGCCTGTGCCCCCGTTTTATTAGCCTTATGTGCAAATTTACAAACAAGTTCACAAACAAACAACACACACAGTTTCACAATATTATTGTTAGTTTTACAACGTACTTTTGAGCACTCTGTACTATAGAATTGCACTGTTTTTCACTCAATTTGTAGAATATTACCTTTTTTCAAAAACATTTTTATTTTTGTATGAACTCTTTTTCCTTCACCTTGTTCAGTGCTCACACCTTCTTCGGAGCAGTAGTCTGTACTTAGTTTTTTTACTTCTTGAATTATACTTTATCGTTAATTTAGTCTGCACACTTCAATCCTTTGAGGTTGAAAAAGTTTTGAAGTGCGTGCCAGTGGTGCCCAGCTAATGCGTTTTCCACTTTGCAGACCACTTAAGATGCCAACACACTTATCTCGTCTTCTAAGTGTTTCCACTTTTTGGGTTTTTGTTTTCAATTTTAGCCCACTTGACAGTTCACGCTAATTGGCAATAACACTTGAGTTTGCTTCTCTGATTCCTAGTAGTAACGGTAGTGCTGAGGCGTTATTTTTCTCCAGAATACTACACTTGCACAATCAACTACTTTGCCTAACTTCAGCACTTTAAATTAAGTTTTTTTAAAAAAAATTGTGCTTGACTTTTTAATTTTGATAAATTCTCTGATTGTATTCTGTTGCCCTGACTGAGCAATTTAACTTTTCAATTTGTCAAAAATTTAATTACAAAAATGTTTTTAATTTACACTTTAACTTTTATTTTACAAAAAAACTTTAATATGTTTTACTTTTTAAAGACAATTTAAGTAAGTTTTTCACATATGTAATTTTAATTTAAACATTTGCTCATTTAAAAATTTTGATAATGAGTTAAAACTATTAAAAAGAGTCTAAATTTGTTTTGTACTTTTGTCTTGTTAGGAAATTTATACTCTTGTTACCATGTCAACAAAGTATTTTTGCTGGCGTTATTGAAAACACCAAAAATGGCAAAGACAATGCCAAAAAAATATTAATAAAAAATGCTAGTCAAATACCGATTTGCTCAACTATTATGCCTAATAGTATTATGTTTTTCCGTATGCTTTGCATTCTGCCAATAATGTCGATAGATGATGTTGAATTCCAAAATAGAAGAAGAAAATTATTCGCTTATTCAGGTTGGTGGTTCATCATTTTAATTTACTGGGTAGCTTCCAATTTGCCGAGCACTAGTAATCCCCTTTCTCATCAATCATTGATCACCTGGACCCTTTTTCTTCTTTTTTTATCATTTGGAAAATTTGAATTATTGATTCAGGCGCACAAAAAAACAAACTACTGTTTGAAGTAAGCATTCAAAAGGCATTCTGTTTCTAAAAAATACTTTGTATGCATTTACCATTACTAAAGTTAATGGAAATAGAAAAACATTAGGTACAATAAAACCGACCTTTTTAGTTTGTTTTGTAAAAAGTTTGATCAAAAGTTGCTTTTTATATGACCTGTGTACAAAATTCTAAATTTTTAAATGCAAAACAATTTGAAATTTTTGTTTTGTAACTTGATTGTACATAAAAATATCAATTTGTTTATCACTGCCAAAACTGCACAACTTTGGTCAAAGTTTTTAGGTTTTTATTATTCAAACTAATGTAGACTATCATAACGGCAAAAAATTGCATTTAAATAAAAGCCCAAATTTGAAATGTTGACAATTGCAGTAAAAGAAAAAGAAAAAATAAGTGCAAGCACACTTGGACAATCAAGGTGCTTCTACATGCACTAGTCAGGCAGTCAGTCAGTCAGTCATTTAGCACCGAGCACCAATTGATCTAAGGTGACAAAAGTGGTCGCAGTTTGAAGATACCAAACATGAAACAAATAAATGAAGAGAGAAAAAGAGCAAAAAGAAGTGAAAAAAGAAACACTTGATATGACTGTCAACAAAAAGAAAAAACACTGAAAAAGACAGACAAAAGAGAGAGGAAAGTGGTGGTGGCAGCGGTGGTGTTGGTTGTATAATAATGAGAAAATAGGCCATTTGATTAAAGGATAAAAAAGAGGAGCGAAAGGGAAAATGAATGGCCGACAAATAAATGAAAAAAAGTAGCTGTAGCAGTTGCAGCAACAACATCCAAAAAAATCCTGGAAATCAATAGCTGCCAAGTGCACAAGGTTTTCAAAATAGTACGTTGTCCTTGTAACGCTCTACACGGTATGTGTTTCAAATGACTGGTGATCACCTAAAACTTATTTCATTCATTTACTTACTCACCGGTGTTTTGTTTAGTTCAGTGTTTGGTTTGGTGCCTGGTGAAAGAAAGAAGAAGGTTACCAGGAAAGAAAACCATGTTGAGATAGACCAGTCTTTAGCTGCCGACAAACTATTTCCAGTTATTCATTTACTCGCTTATTCATTCACTTGTTCATTCATTCATTCATTCAATTCAATTCATTTGGCAAATATTGCAGAAAGATCTGCACAATGTCTTTCGTTTTGGCTAGCTCTTTAGTTTTCTCTTAGCACAAAAGCCCCTGTACAAAAATGTTTCCAGTCGTTGGCACTTTTGTTTTTATTACCCAATTTTTGTTCTCTTTCTCTAGGTTTGTTTTTTCCATTGTGATTCTTAGTAATCGTTTGTATTGCAAATGTACTAGAACCAGCACTGAGGAGCAAAAAAAGCTTGATCTTCTTGCAGTTAAACAGTTTCAACTTGAAGTTTTCTTTTTTTATATTTCGTTCTTCAGTAGTTGGTACCAGCAACCACTGCTGCTGAAAACTGAAGACTGACACAAACTGTCGGTAGTAGTCTGTCTGTATACTGCAGACGCAGCGAGTGTTCAAAAAAGCGGTACCAGAAAAAAGGAAAGGGAAATGAAAAGAAAGAAAGCAAAAAAAGAAAAGGAACCGAAAGTGAGTGAAAGAGAAATGGAATAGCAGCAGAAGCAGAAGCAAAAACAGAAACAGTACATTATAGATAGGAGAAGAGTAGAGTGCCTGAGCAGTGGTGGTCGCGGTGGTCGTACATTACCAGCTCCCGAAAGACTGTATAAACAGACAGACCGAGGGTGCAGTGTTGCCAGTTGAGCAGAGGCAGCAGCCGACGACTGACTCACTATCTCACTGACTGACTGACTAACCGATTGAGCCGGTGCTAACTTAGCAGCTGCAGCAGCAGCCTCATAACACCACCCTATTAAACTACTTTTTGCCAATTGCCACTTAATTGTCACTTCGTCGCCTGAAGGAAAAGCAACTAGAGAGTGAGTTCAACTAATCAGCGCCCTCGTGGTCGACCAAACAGACAGTGGCGCACTAAAGGTGTTTATATTCTTTTTACCNCTAGAGAGTGAGTTCAACTAATCAGCGCCCTCGTGGTCGACCAAACAGACAGTGGCGCACTAAAGGTGTTTATATTCTTTTTACCCTTTTACTGAAATTAAAAGCGTTAACCGGCAAAAAAATAACTTTGATTCAATTGGCGTTTGAATACTACTACTACCGGCAAATTCATTTCCTGATTTTGTTTTTTCTGTCACAAAAAACTCTGTTCATCATCATTATCATCTTCTTAATCAAACCTTACCTCTTTAACTCTACTTTATTTACTGTCAGCGACAGCCACAGCAACAGACAGCACTGTACGTACCTTATTACTTTTAAAACTTCCAATCTATTTTTTTTGGTTGTTTATCACTTTTAACTTCCGTTGGTATTGCGCATCTTTGTTGCTGTTTGTGCAAAATCTACATGCACACACACACATACTTTAAGTAATCTGTAGTTTAGTAATCACCGACTTACCGGAGATTTTCTTTAGTGCCGGCAGTAATGCAGCGATGTTTTTTAGGTGACACTGTAAGCTTGTGTCTGTGTGTGTTTGTGCGCGCGCCCGTTTGTTGCACTCGGCAGATTACTGTGCTTCTTGCGCGCTCGGGGCAAAGAAAGCTCTCTGGAAAGAAAACATGGCAAAAATGTTGCCACTGCTGCTGCTGCTGCCGCAAAAATGGCCACTTGCTCAGCAGTGGCAGCAGTGTCAGCGGCAGCAGCAGCACAAGCTGTTAGTAACAGTGTTGCCAGTAACAGTAAGTGCTAGCACACAGAACACACACACACACACACTGCTTACCACTCACTCACTCAAAATTTGATCACAAAGTTGTGGCAGCTGTGTCTGTGTCGGTGTGTGTGTGCCGTGTGTGTGTGCTGTGCTGTTGTTAGGGTAACATCAGCAGCAGTCTTTTTTATGATTTGACTGTCTTTTCTGAGTCACCACGTTCTCAGCAAACCGATCCCTTTCTTTGCCTCCACTGCCAGCGACATCGTTGTCGCCGCCATCGCCGCCATCATCAGCATCATCATCATCGTCAATTTTTTGTACAATAACATAATATAATCCGTGTCTGCATTTGGATACATTACCAGTGCCTATCTATCCTATTCTATCCTATCATTCACCTTGAACATCATTTGTTTTCCCTTTCCTTCTTTCTCTCGGTGTGTATGTGTTTGTTTTGATTGCCTTTTTCTTCTGTTCGCTGTTGCCAGTCGCGCGGTAGTGTGTGATTGTCTAGCTCTTTCGCCGTGCACCGTTCTTCACTGTACGGCAGCAAATTCACTGTTTTGATTAGGCTGTACAGTTCTCTCTGTCTGTTTGTGCCATTGCTGTTGCTGCTGCTGCTGATGTTGCCAATGTTTGGCAATCATGCTGTACAAACAACAGAAGTTTAATACTGTTTCCTCGGCATTAGT